TTTAACTTTAGCTAGGTTTTATCAGTGTGAGTACTCATTTGAATTTTAGACGTTGTACCTACTTGGCTCTTTTCCCTCCAGTATTTTATTACTTACAAAAAAATTCTTAATATTGAGTGTAATATAGACAAAATGTGATTTGTGATTCTTTACAGCATGGTTTTACATTGGCATTGCATTACATTTTCCTTTAAAACTCATCCCTAATTCTCTGAGAAGAGAATTTGTAACATGCATGGCTTTGTAGCTGTGACAGATGACTTCTCTAGAATAAATACAGCTCTCGTTTTCTTTCGGATGAGAACTTGGTGGGAGGTATGTGTGTGGCTCTCCTTCCTGTGTACCACATTTGACACCCTTTATGTAGAATGATGATTTCTATTTGAAGATAGCTGGTAATCACTCTGTTGTCATCAGACCTTGATTCATTAGTTTTCTTTATAGATAATAGTTCCTTGACTAAAAATAATTTAAATAAACCAATGTGTTCTGTTTTAAGTATTTATAGGCCATTTGTGTTTTCACATAAGTCATAGTGAATCATAAGTAAACACTGACAGTAGTGTTAGTAATTATTGAATCAGTGAAAAAGAGGTAGTATTTGAAATGATTTATTATCATAAAATTACAAATACAGACTTTGGGCATTTGGGCATGTGCTCTGTCTTAAGAATCCAGCTTTGAGGAAATTAATTAATCTAATGTTACCATTTAATCTAATGTTATTAAAATACAAAACAGTGTTTTAGGATACTTTCTTCCTCTTAACTTTTTAAGTATATCAATCTAATAATTTCACTCCAGTATGTACATCATGTATTTGATAAGTGTCATAGACGAGTATCATTATCTTTCACTTTTTCTTTGGGCAGAGGATGACCCAGTTTTCACTAGACAAGACAGCAATCGCAGTGAAAAAGAGACCACACAAGCAGCACATGAAACAGAACCAGAGTCAGGGTCTCAGCCTCGGCCTGCTGTATTATCTGGCTATTTTAAACAGTTTCAGAAGTCTTTACCACCAAGATTCCAGCGGCAGCAGGTAACAATAAAAACGTTTTATCTTGTACATGTGATTGAAAAGATTTATTGTTTAATAGCCTGAGAAATAATTTGACATAAAACCCAAAATACACAAAGCACACAAATTTTCGCTGAAAGATTTCCCCTTTTAATGAAAGTTTGTTGACACAGGTTTTATTGTGAACTGTGTCATTCCCTTTTTACCCCTCTCTGCCTCATTTATGGAGACCATCTTCCTTTCTAGGAAATGGTTTTTGCAGTATAATTAATGAGTAGTTGTGTAAGTCAAGTATAAGGCCAAGTGTCATAACTTTCCCTTTGTTCTTTTGTCTTGCTACGTCTCACTGTTAAATGACTTCTGAATTCTTTTCCTTCAGGGATTCAGAAAAGCCTATTTTCTGATTTGATCGAACATATTAATTTATCAGATGGAACTAAACATGTCAGTTTGTGGGATTCTGCTTTCTTTAGGAACAGATGAAGCAGCAGCAGTGGCAGCAGCAGCAGCAGCAGCAAGGTGTGCTTCCCCAGACAGTTCCTTCCCAACCATCCAGTGGCGCTGTCCCCCCGCCACCGCACAGACCTCTTTACCAGCCCATGCAGCCCCACCCTCAGCATCTGGCGTCCATGGGTTTTGATCCAAGGTGGCTCATGATGCAGTCCTACATGGATCCTCGAATGATATCAGGCAGACCTGCAATGGATATCCCACCCATTCATCCTGGTAAGTTGAAATTGTCCTTGTCTCTGGGCTCGCTTGTAGTTGTGCAAAGTGTTTCAGCATTTGAATTTTGTCCTAATGTTATATATTCTAGCTTTTCAATTTTCTCTATCATTTATCAACCTTAGTTTTCTTCTAGGTTCGCTAAAGACAAATGAATTGGAAGTCTTTATCAGAATAAATTGAGATAATTGATTACTAAATGGTATAAAGGAAGATTTGAAGGTGATAAAAATGTGATCAAGAATCATATCTTTGGGGGGAGGGTATAGTTCAGTGGTAGAGCACTGTGTTTAACATGCACGAGGTCCTGGGCTCAATTCCCAGTACTTCCATTAAGAAATAAATAAATAAACAAAGAACCTAATTACCTACCCACCCATCCCCCAAAATTCTTTTTTAAAAGAGAGAATCGCATCTTGATTTTAAAATGTACACTGAAGTTTCAAAATTTAAGAGGCATAATTTATAGCATATTGATCAACTAATTAAACTAGATTAATGTTAAATATGCATAGAGACAGTTCTGATTATCTGATTTTTAAAGGCATTGTATTTTCTCTCCTTTGAAGTTAAGTAGGCTGTCCTTATAGTTTTACTTACTTTGCTTCCTCAATTTTTAAATCTGTTGGACAACAACAATAAAAATTTCATTCATAGAAAAACAAATTTTCACGGGTCATTTTGAGTTAATCAATTCCACTTGGCAAACCATGTTTCTTTAGTCCAAATATGGAGAATTCCAAATAGTAATTAATAGCGTAAATTCTATGCCTGTAATGACTTTGTTTCCTTCATTTCTTCCCTCCATTTTTTTTTTCTGACCATTTGTATAGGAATGATTCCTCCTAAGCCGTTAATGAGAAGAGACCAGATAGAAGGGTCACCAAACAATTCTGAGTCATTTGAGCATATAGCTCGATCCGCAAGAGATCATGCAATTTCCCTTTCTGAGCCTCGTGTGATGTGGGGGTCAGATCCCTACCCTCACACTGAGCCTCAGCAGGCCACCACTCCCAAGGCAACGGAAGAACCTGAGGATGGAAGGTAATTATTAAAATTATTAATAGATCAATAGACTGTTGTGGTGAAATGAAAACTGTAGTCTCCCTGAAGATCACTCTGAGTTTCTCTCATTCAGTATGCCTTATTTCATTTTAGGACATACTTTCTCTTTTCTGGTATTTCTGTATTGATTAGGGCATTTTGTATTATAGTTCTGTAAACTCAACTAAATGCTGAAGTTTAGTGGTAGATGTTAAAATTGGCAAGACTCTTCTGTCGATTAGGTGCTTTATATGTAGTCTGGCTAAAGCATTGATGTAGTTCTTCCACTAATGAGAAATGGTAGGCATTCAGTTATCTTATGGAAGTTTTCTAAGGCCAAGTTAAGGACAAATATTAGTTTATAGGATTACTTTGAAGTAGCAGATAATTGATCTCTAATAATTTATATCGTGAAGTTAGAACTTCTGCCCTTTTAAGGAGTATATTTTATGATGTTTTAAAAGTCTGATTCCTTGGGAAATATAGACCTACTCTAGTGTACTCTGATTGTTAAGTGGAAATTACTGGTTTTGGTGGATTAAAAATTCACACCAGCATGGTCTGAGCTTCTTTTTCTTAAGGAGTGCACTTCATTGGTTTTTGATTGTGGGGAAAGAAACACATAACATGATATCTACCCTTTTATCAAAATTTCAAGTGTGTAGTACAATGCTGTTAACTATAAGCATGTCGTACAGCAGATCTCTAGAACTTTTTCATCTTGCACAGCCAAAACTTTATACCCATGTAGTCAGAACTTACTTCCCCTTCCTCCTGGTCCCTGGCAGTCACCATTCTACCTTCTGTGAGGATGAGTTTGATTTTATAAGCGTATATAAGTGGGATCATGCAGTATTTGTCCTTCTGTGACTGGTTTATCTCACTTAGTGTAATATCCTTATCCATGTTGTAGCATATAGCAGGATTCTTTCTTTAATGCTAAACAACATTCCATTGTATGCATATACCACAGTTTCTTAGCCTGTTCATCTGTCAGTGGACATTTAGATTGTTTCCATCTCTTGGCTATTATGAAAAATGCTGCACTAGATTTTTTTACAGAGCCATAAAGATGTCCTTTATGATTAGAATCCGTTGTTTTGTTTTTAAATTAAAGGGATTATTTTGCTTTACACATACATGTGAAAAAGATTTTGTGTTGATGATTATGTCTGAATTCCCTTATCATAGGCCTGAAGCCCCATTGGATCAGGAACAGATTACTGCTGCTTATCCTGTAGAACATAGTCAGTTAGAGGCTCACCCAAAAGCAGACTTTGTCAGAGAGTCAAGTGAGACAGAAGTACATAAGTTTTTAAGCAGATCGGTAGAAGACATTAGACCTCACCATACTGACACACATAATCAGCCTGCTTGTTTTGATGTACCTGATCTGAAGTCTGTATCCACTCCTCAAGAAGAGCGAAGTTTAGCTGGAGAGAGTCAGCCTGCCCGGAAAAGAAGTGTTTCCCATGGATCAAACCATACTCAGAAATCAGAGGAGCAGAGAAATGAGCCATCTGCAAGCATCCCTAAAGGAGCCAGCAGATCCATTGATTCAAGAGAACCAGCAGAAAGGCCAGAGGAAAAACCCAAAAAAGAGGGCTTTCTGCGTTCTTCCGAAGGACCAAAACCTGAAAAAGTGTATAAATCAAAATCAGAAACTCGTTGGGGCCCAAGGCCGAGCTCCAACAGAAGAGAAGATGGTAATGATAGGCCTGTGAGGAGGTCAGGTCCTATTAAGAAACCTATACTTAGAGATATGAAAGAAGAACGAGAGCAAAGGAAGGAGAAAGAAGGAGAAAAGGGAGAAAAGGTCACTGAAAAAATTGTAAAACCTGAAAAGACAGAAAAGAAAGAACCTCTTCCTCCACCCCCGCCACCTGCAGCACCAGCTCAGCCGCAGTCGGTTCCGCCACCACCTCCGCCTCCACCAGAGCCAGAGAAACTTCCTTCAGTAGAAACTTCAACTTCAGCTTTGGCGCAAAAGCCACCTCAAGATACTGAGAAGCCTTTGGAACCTACAAGCAGTGTTGAGGTAGAGCCTGCAGCCAAAACTGTAAACCAGCAAACCGTCACAACACCAGCAGTTAAAGAAGAAAAACAACCTGAGAAAGTCATCAGCAAAGATCTTGTTACAGAGAGGCCTCGACCAGATTCAAGACCAGCAGTTAAAAAAGAATCAACTTTACCTCCTAGGACCTATTGGAAAGACCCCAGAGATAGAGATTGGTTTCCAGATCAAGGATACAGAGGTCGAGGCCGAGGTGAATATTACTCTAGAGGGCGAAGCTATAGAGGCTCTTACGGAGGGCGTGGCCGAGGAGGCAGAGGGCACACTCGAGATTATCCTCCTTACAGAGACAATAAGCCACGAACAGAGCACGTGCCCTCAGGACCTCTCAGACAGCGAGAAGAAAGTGAGACACGAAGCGAGAGCTCCGATTTTGAAGTCGTTCCCAAGAGGAGAAGACAGCGAGGTTCAGAGACTGACACAGACAGTGAAATTCATGAAAGTGCAAGTGACAAGGATAGTTTAAGCAAAGGGAAACTTCCCAAAAAAGAGGAGCGGTCTGAAAACAAAAAACCTATAAAGCCTCAATCTTCTTTCAAGCCTGAAAATCATGTCCGAATAGATAATAATAGACCTCTGGAAAAACCTTACATAAGGGATGATGATAAGTCTAAACCAGGTTTCCTTCCTAAAGGAGAGCCTACAAGGCGAGGCAGAGGGGGCACTTTCAGACGTGGTGGAAGGGACCCTGGAGGTCGCCCATCACGCCCTTCCACCTTACGGAGACCTGCTTATCGGGACAATCAGTGGAACCCAAGGCAGGCAGAGGCTCCTAAGCCAGATGATGGAGAGCCACCAAGAAGACATGAGCAGTTTATTCCGTTACCAGCGGATAAACGGCCTCCAAAATTTGAGCGAAAATTTGACCCAGCTAGAGAGAGGCCCCGAAGGCAGCGTCCTACCCGACCACCAAGACAGGATAAGCCTCCTAGATTTAGACGGCTAAGAGAGAGGGAAGCCGCTTCAAAAACCAATGAGGTGGCAGTGCCCACAAATGGCACAGTTAATAATGTCGTTCAAGAACCAGTTAATACTGCTGGGGATGTTTCTGGGAATAAGACACCAGACTTGTCTAATCAGAACTCTTCAGATCAGGCAAATGAAGAATGGGAAACGGCTTCTGAAAGCAGTGATTTCAACGAGAGGCGTGAAAGGGATGAAAAAAAAAATGCTGATTTGAATGCACAAGCAGTTGTAAAGACCGGAGAGAATGTTTTACCTCCAAAAAGGGAGATTGCAAAGAGAAGTTTTTCTAGTCAAAGACCTGGTGTTGATCGCCAGAATCGGCGTGGCAACAGTGGCCCACCCAAATCTGGAAGGAATTTTTCAGGTCCTAGGAATGAAAGGAGAAGTGGCCCACCATCAAAAAGTGGCAAGCGAGGGTGAGTACTTTTAGATGTAAATACTTTTGCACCTTTGAGAAGCTGAAAGTAGACTTACTGGTTGACGTGTGCAAAGGAGCCAGTCTATAGAGGACCAAGACATTGTTCTCCCATAATTTTTTTTCTCTGTTCTCAAAGTAAGGGTGCTTGAGAAAGAGGTTAGTGTGTCCTAGAAGTCTTTGCCTGCTACATTACATTTCCCAGAAGAGTCCTCTTAGGAATTTGTAGCTTTGGGAAAATCTACACACTGAGGCTGGGACCTATAAGATGTTTTCCATTTGGTAAATCATCTTGCTGATGATGGGTAGCCCGCCTTTCTTTCTTGGATTCTCTTTGGGAAGCTCGTGCTCACAGGTGTCCCCTGGGACTTTAATTAATATGTTGTAGCCATACACTTTGTCACTCTGTGCTGGTTTCAAGAGAGCAAATGTTGAAACCTAAGGATAAATTGTATTCCACTCTTGAATTGCAGACCTAAAATAAATGATCCAGGTTAGGGAGAGACCTAGAAAGCAAAGTCCTGCCCAACCACTAGGGCACCAGTAACATAAATATCATGTCATTGGTGGTTTTTTTTTTTTTTTAAGAAATTTTTATAAACTGTGCTAACTTGGTCTTTTCTTTTTAAGTATTAAAATGTCGGTTATAGTAAGTTTGTTTGTTTGTTCTTAGTATTAGGAAACATTATAAAGTAGGATTATTCCTAGTTTTAAATCTAGGCTGTGGTACTTGCTTGTTGTATAAAGTCTTTACTTCCTCATCAGTAAAATGGGGAGAAAGTAACAGTCCTTACAAAAATGTGTGACATTTTAGTGACATGACATTTTAAATTGAAGCACTTAACATCTGGTATGTAGTATACAAGTGTTATTTTGGTATGCCGTTTTTTGATCAAATTCCCAGATTTGCCGCCTGAGCTGATAAGAAATTTATTCAGACAAAATAATATTTTAATCTGCATTGGTTACTTACTTACTCTTAGCATTTCTGGTTACTATACGTGTAAACAAAAATATATTTTTGCTTTCTGATAGTTCCAGGGAAATAATGCTAACAGTTTTGTTCCTTAAGTACCTGCTTAACACAGAATTTAAACCTCACTTTAAAAGTCCAGAAGAACAGGATAACATATATAGTTGCAGTAATGATGTAATTGTTGACCATAAGTAAACTATTTGAATTTCGAGTGATAATGCTCAGGGAGGAAATTGATCTGATATTTGTGCAATGTAGATAGTATCAACTTTGAACCTGCAGAAACAGCAGTTACTGGCTGTAGTTAAAATGAATATTTTGGAAGAGTCCCATTTAGAAGAAGTGAATGCATTCTTCAAATATTTGGAAGTCAAGCTTTTTATCAAGCTCTCAAGTGAGCTTTTATCTTGAGTAATACTATAGGCTGAGCTGAAAATGAATCGGTGAGCCGTTTTTTCATGGTGTATTTTCATAAAATGAACCCAAGAGAATTTGTTAGGGGAAAAAAATATAGAAATACCTTTGGTTTGTGAAGTGAATGGTTTCCATATGAAGAGTGGTTTTAAAAGATATGTTTACATTTATGTATAAATCTGATTGAACTTTTTCAAAAAGTATATATGTAGAGTAGGCACAGGCTTTTAAAATTTTTTCATGTGCTGCCCTCTTGTGGAGAAGATCCACTAGTGAATATTTTGGTCTAGCTTGGATCACAGGAAATTTCTGCTGTGAACAGTGTTGATTATTAGCTCATTTATAATGTGATAGATACAGTAAGAACTTCTGGGAGATAATTCTAGGATTAATTGCTGGAAAGAACTGTAAGGAGCTAGTCTCTCTCCTTTATTGGGAAGCTCAGTCGGTTGTACTCAACAAAAGTCACTAAGGCTTGTTGGTTTTAGAGTTAGGGGCTTCTGTCTCACTGCTATTTTTTCTTAGATTGACCTTTAGAAACTGCCACTAAGACCTTTTTTTATTGTTATTCAGTTATGTGGAGGTAGTGATACCTTAAATTATTATTTTGTAGACCATTTGATGACCAGTCGGCAGGCACAGCTGGTGCTGATCCTGTCAATGGCACCTCTGCACACCACCAGGAAGGAGCACCTAATGGTACAGGACAAAAGAACTCCAAAGACTCTACGGGGAAAAAAAGAGAAGACCCCAAACCAGGCCCTAAAAAACCCAAAGAGAAAGTGGATGCACTATCACAGTTTGATCTCAACAATTATGCAAGTGCGTTTTCAGATCTCTTTTATCTGTCTGTCTGTCTGTTACATTTAAGTAGATGCTGTAAATAAGTCATCAATAAAAGATTTAGACTTCAAGGTAGAGTTAGAGGCTCGTTATGAATCATTAACTGATGCAGCTTGAACTAAAATAACACCAGCTTTTAGCGTAGCCTTGCATGCTTGATAAAATTCTTGTAAAGATAATCCACAGGGCTTCACTGTTCTTCATGGAAAAGGGATGAAATTAACTACTCTACCTTGCTAAACAGGTATGGGAAAGCTCAGAAAGTCAAATGAACATGCTTAATTATATCTGTATATATACTGTGTCTGAAAAGAAAGCCTCAGTGTTAGCCTCAGTGATAAAATTGGTATCTAAGATATGGTAAATAGAGAATAAATAATAGGATAGGCGGTAGTGTTGCTAGGAGTAAATATTTTCAGAAAAGCATGCGGTGATAGGATATCACATGCATAGGATAACAGCAATAAGGAAATATTTGATGAGGAAATTGGCAAATATCTGTGAGTAGACACTTAATGCATGTAAAAATGTGCTATTTACTATTCATTCAGGTGAGACTTAAGCTGGAAATACTGAATAATTTCAAGAGATTCACTAAGAGCAGATAGTAGTATCGGGAACCTTTGGGCTGTGTGTTGTTATTCCAGTATTAGAGATGTAGACGAGAGTTTCCTTTCATCTGGTTGATGATTGTTTATACATATTAAACCTGATTCGGGCCCAGGACCTTGGCTTTATATTTCTAGACTAGCAGTTCTCAGAGTGTGGTCCTCAGACCATCTACATTACCTGGAAATTTCTGAGAAATACAAAATCTTAGGTCCTACCCCCGACCTACTGAATCAGAAACTTGTAGTGTGAAGCAGTCTGTGTTTAACAAGTTCTTGAGGTGATTACCACGCAGACAGACTTTTGAGAACTAATTCTAGACTTCATAAGACCAGCTTAGCTTGTCAGCACCTCCTCTGACAAACTTAGTACATTCTTTGAAAAGGGGAAACAAAAGTAATACCCACCTCTTAGAATGGATGATTAGATGCAAATTAGACGAAGTAGTATTTGGTCTTTACAACACAATACACATCTTGAGGTTGGGAGGGATGGAGATAGATGATTTGACTAAGATAAGATAATTCTGATTTTTTAAGTAAAGGCATTACCACTGTATTGCTTAAGAAAAAAAAGGAGTATCTCTCAAAGTAGATAGTTTAAGAACTTTTGTTTTTAACCTTGTTTGTGAAGCCTTTCAAATTTTACTAATAAATGGCCATTATAAGGTGTGGAAAATGGGTTCTACTATGAATTATAAGCACTAGATCTTTGTGTTTTTTAATTAATACTGGACCAAAAATTTTTGTTATCTTTTCAATTTAAGAAAGAAAGTATCATTTAAAATCTTTTTCTATACCCATAGGTGTTGTTATAATTGATGACCACCCTGAAGTAACAGTAGTTGAAGACCCCCAGTCGAATTTGAATGATGATGGTTTTACTGAAGTGGTATCCAAAAAACAACAGAAACGTTTACAGGATGAGGAACGCCGAAAGAAGGAAGAACAAATCATACAGGTTTAGTGTTTCAATTTGTTGCTAGTTATTTAGATTGTTTTAAAATAGAATATAATCACTATAACTCACTGTTTGCCTTGGAGAAGACCATTTTTGCTTTATTTCAACAACATATTTTATGTTTTAGTATTGGTCATCTTATTTGGCCTGTCTTACTTCATGGCAGATTTGGAGTAAATTTTAAATTATCTTAGAAATCTAATGAACACAGCTGCCTTGATCTCTAATAAATTGCAGGTTCTTAACCTAAGTTTTTTGTTGTAGTGTAAATTAGTTCAGTTAAATACACAGTATGCATCACAATGAGTTAGTTCATTTGAATCAACCCAAACACCCATTTTGCTAAATGCTGACGCAAGATAAAAATAAATAGAGCACATAGGTCACAGTGATAAAGATGAGAAGTCTTCAAAACAGGAAACACTGTAAAAAATCCTATAAGGATGGTAATACTGAGTTTAACTGAATATGACCCTTGGGGCCAGATATTCCAGAAGTCATCTATCTTTTTTTTTAAAGAAGGTACAGTAGTGTATATATCCTGTATAGCAGAACACCCAGCAACAATCACAGAATGAATGTTTCTGTGGCAAACACAAGTTGAGTGAAGTTGATAGTTTCTTGTCAGATGGGATCAGATTTTGCTGCCAAATGAATTTACTACGAATTTCCTTAGTTTTTTGAATGTCAGAATTGTCGGAGAGGGATCGTGCACCTGTGTGTCAAGAATGTATAATGAATACTTGTCTTTTTTCCACTGATAATATCTTTAAATTTAAATAATTTAAAATCTCATTAGCAACCTTGACATTTTTTTTTTTATCAAGTACCTATTTTGAAAAGTCAAGGAGCTAAATTAGCAGTAGGTTGCTTTGTCAGAAATTCCATTCATGAAGTGTTTGAACTTTGAGCTGTGTTACTGACAAAAGTGATTGCTGCCAATTTTTTAAGGTCTGGAATAAAAAGAATGCAAACGAAAAAGGAAGAAGTCAGACTTCTAAGCTTCCGCCAAGATTTGCCAAAAAGCAGGCGACAGGGACCCAGCAAGCACAATCTCCAGCCTCAGCTCTGGCCCCAGCTCCCTGCCCAGGTGTGGCGTCGGCCTCAGCTCCAGCCACGACCTCGGCCCCGCTGGCCGGCTCAGCCCCAGCTCCCGTTCTGGCGTCGCCGTCAGCTCCGCTCCCAGCCCCAGCCGCAGTTCCAGTCCTGACCTCCTCATCAGCTTCACTCCCAGCCTTAGCCTCAGCCTCAGCCTCAGCGCCAGTCCCAGCCTCCACCTCAGCCACGACCACAGCCTCTTCTTTGTCAGCTCCACCTCCAACCCCGGTCCTTGCCTCAGCTTCATCCCCAGCTTCTGTCCCCATCCTTGCCTCAGCCTCACTTCCCATCCTTGCCTCAGCCCTAACACCTGTTTCCGCCCCAACTGCCCCCACCTCAGCCCCGACTGCCCCTGCCCCGGCCCC